TTATTTTCTCTTTCTTGTCTAAGTTTAAAAATTGGATGAAAAGTTCTCCTCCTAAGTAGTTAAGCCTCTGTTTTAATCCATTAATTTGATTGATTAATAGTTTCGTACTGTTATCTTGTCCAACTATATAAATAATTAAAATAAAATTATTAGAATATTTTTAAGAATTATGTATACATAAATAATTCGAATATATCAATATATTACATAATCGAATTAATATGTTACACAAAGTTATTAATAATCGAAGGTACGTGTATGTAAGACATATATATGTATGTGCAATTATCTTAAATTTTTAAACATGTGTAAGATAAAATATTTTATTTGAGATTTTATTAAAATCTATTTTTTAATGATATATATATATCTTGTAAGATAAATAACATACTAGTTAAAATAGTAAATTTTAGAGCCATTTTAGTTTTTTTAATTCTTCGTTAATCTCGTGCAAAACTTTTTTGTTCTTGTCTTCTACGTTTGATCACGACCACTTCGTTCGTCAGCTGAATTCACTTTGTCTATTCGATAAATAAAACTTAACGGCTGTTTATACGAAAATGTTTATATTTCTTTCTGTTTTCAAAATTCTTCTCTTGTAAGATGCTTGTAAGACCTGTGTCGATTTTGTTTTGAATGCGTATCACGTGACATATCTTTTCGCTCATCACTTTAATTGAAACGAATCAAATAAAATCATCTGATAACAACAGATTAGAGATGAAGTGCAGATTTAACGGCACATTTACTGATTTATTGTTGTTTTAATTATTTTGCATAATTTATAAAATAGAATAATTTAGATACTATTTACTCTTTAATTTGATACAAACAAAATAAATGTAATAAGTAAAATAAACAAATATAAATTAATAAATAATAAAAGTTTTTTTTTAAACTCAATAATTATCTAAAAAAGTTTGTATATTTTATACATTTATATACATATCTGTATATATAGATTCGAATTTTACGTGATTTCTTTTTATTTGATACGTAAATAAAGCCTATGTATCGATCCATTTTGTTGCAATAAGTTTGTTACAAGCAGTATATTATCAGAGCACTTATACATCAAAATATTTTAAATAATAATTTGTATCTTAATAAAAAATAAGATAAAAATGACTCGTAATGTTTAAAATAAAAGAAAGCGAGATAATGAAAGTTCTATATGGTAATTAAAGCAAATTTTTTAAAGTTTAATAATTAAATAATTAATCACATTTGTATTGATTTTCTAATACACTCTATCCCGTGTTCATACTGTTCAAAAGTTGTGTAGTATGATTTTTAAAATAAAATTAAGTTCGTATAATAATACTCACGTTGTGATATTTGAGTGAATCGAATGGAAATAAAAATAAACCAAAGTTACATGTAAGAAAGTTTCAAATTCTGAGTAATTTATGTTAGGTTTGCATATTTACAATATATTAAAATATGAAATAATTTTTATTACACATTGCATATCAAATTATTACAGAATCGTAAAAATATACATATCATTAAACAAATTTTATCAGGTATTACAGCTATAATACAATATCGCATAAAAATAAATTTTTATTACAAGAGAATGATATACATTTAGAATTCGTAAAAAAAGTGAAAAATTTTTTGCCGGCGATTTAATTTTCTTAATGAAAATATCGAGATTTTATGTATATTTTATATATACATATTATTATATAATAATAAATGTATTATATAATATTATAATATTATAATAT